ATCTGATCTCATAAATGAGATGACACGTAAATAGTAGCTAAAGTATTGTAGTAAGAATAATTTATAGCTTACCAGCCAACACAAACAAGCTCTTACAAACGGGTCTCGTGACTACAAGTGTTAGACTGCATATCAAATTGTATTCACCCTTTTACAAAGTGACCGGCAAACGTGTAAAGTACAGAGTGTTATAATAGCATGCCTATGAATTAGGTTGTAATTCATTATCTGTTCTCGAGCACGGTTCATCACAAATCCCTCGATACCTAATGCGCATCGTATAATATTAACGGCCACTTCTTCTCTCGTTCATGCAAACATAACAAGACGTTCACTCCTAATTGTCCGTTACGGCAAACTGGAAAAATGTTCGCTACCACCTAAACAAGTGTAGTAACAGGATACCTTTTCCTTATTAGTATCGCAAGAGAGCTGAAAATCATACTTGTAGTGGCTGATGCAGTACCACGCGCTATTTTCTTTCGCATCGATCTCTCCTCTTTGTTTTCTTCGCTTCGCTCTTCTGATCGTCCCTCTGGATCAACGATTGTATGAAATATACGTATTCAAAATCCATTCTCGTATTTGGCTTATTCGATCCCGTAATTCACTAACAAAGATCGTTGTTATGCACATTTCGATAGCATTCGTCATAAGATCTGACTGCAGTCAGATACAGTCTCAGCGAAAGTGTTGAGCCCGTCGATGTCATCAACGCCCGATTTTATCGGCGTCAAAATAAAAGGCCGTCGAATTCACTCCCCATACTCCAGTTGTTGAGTGTGGAATATTGGCGTCATTACGGAGAACGAAATACACTCTACAAAGGCACGGAAACCTGCGTATTTAACAATCACGGCATTTTCATTCAACGGCGAAGCAATATTGTCACGGTGTTAATGACAACTGTTTAAACAACGACAATAAAAATGAATGTCTTCATTCGTTCTTTATGTATTCTCTCTGACTCTCGATGGCGACCACGAGCGAGGTCACTATAGTGCGATATTAGTGTCAGAAAGCCAATTATTGGCATTGCCAAACAATATAATTGGTTCAGCACCACATCTCCCTTGACACTCTCCTACGAAAATCATATGATGTCAAGTGTACCCCACTGAACTGACCGCTTCACCACGCCTGTCATACTTAGTACAGGTCTGCAAAAAACAACAATGACAGAGGAAACACAAGCAAACCTCGCACAGACAAGTGAATTATACACCCACAGCCGGCGAACTTCAGTGGGCTTGTAGGGCTTATAGCAGTTTGTCTAAATGCATCTGTACTTATCTATTGTTGAACAATACTAACATGTAGAACATGGTTATAGTGACATATATATAGAGGTTTGGGTCATTGTTAGGTGCTCTTCATAGTCTGACCTACGAGATCCACAGTTACACGTTGGCCAACTCAACACCTCTTATCCCACACTTTTAATGCCATACTGACATCAGGTGCGATCAAACGAGATAAATGGTTCAGCGCCTTAACTTCCTTGCCGCCGGTTTACCGAATAAAACTCCTGTAACATTACGTTCCTACGTACTAGACTGAATACATCGAAAGAGTGAGATGATCTTGCAAATAATATACTACACGCCTACTCGGAGCAGTTTTGAAGTACATGTTCTTCACATCAACTACGGCGATTTCTTGTGTGATTCCTACTGAACTACCTTTAGTATCTGATTTAACTAGGAAGAGAATAGCGGTGTGGATCTCAAGTTCTATAACCACAATTGAAAAATGCTTAGACCATGGATTTCAAACAATAAATGTTTTGTACTCGGATGATTGAGTCATCTCAAATGACCTTATGGCATACACTCAACTACGAAAGGCCACTTGAAGGATGAACTCACAGCTATGAAACATGCGCTGTTAACTATAATTTGTCAGTCTTACAGTTTATTAAAAATAGCAGTTTCTTAGGGTTTTCTATTCACACGTGACGTGTACCTGAGGACAATAAATAAATATTTACGCCAATCGATAGAGATCTTTTTAATTTGTACGTGGACGTAGTGAGAAAATGTTATCAGCACTTAGCAATTATGCTATCCACATACGTTTAAAAATTTTAGGGCATTTTCTAATTCACTCCATGTTAAGAACTTTTGAGATAGGATTATCTACAAGAAGCATCGATTAGGTCAGCCGAAATACTGTCAGAAGTACTTGACTCTGTATTCCTATTTAGTAGATGGAGAGAATTTAGGGCGGTGACGAAAGGGTGAATTAAACGAACCTCTCTTTGCTAGTCATAGGCTGACAAGTAAACAGCGGAACATGGTTTTTTTACTGAAAGCTAGACAAAAACATATGATACACATGATTGCATGTCGTTTGGTGCTTTTTGAAATATGCTGGACTTCTGAAGACAAGTGTGCTATTAACTTAAGCTAGCTTACATGCAGACCACCGATATGAAATGATCGCCTTGAGGCAAGCCGGTCAAGGTCGATACAAGGAATAGGTGATTTCAGTCCTATATCCTGTATCGTGATTGTCTTGTAGTATTCATTTGAGTCACCCTTCATTACGTAAGATTGTTGACCTGAATTATTTCCTAATAACCCTATTGAATTCACACTTCACTTCACGTCGTAAACGCCAAACGTGCTCAAGAAACATTTGACAATGAACTGTAATCTAATCGAGGTGATTACCCATGAGTGAGCTTACACGTAACATTCATTCCCTAACTATTGTTACTATTTTATCATTTAACATGACTTTCTACGTTTTTTGCTATCAAATTCTTATTTACATGGGCCCATTTAATATTTGTGTTGGCATACTATTATTTGTTTTGCATAATGAATAATTTATTTTGCGGGTCCACTATAATATCTATTAATCTGGCCTCCAAGTGGATGATCAATAAATATTACTTATTTTTTTCGGCTGAAAGAACGTGTATCATTGACTGAGCTGAATCCTGCAAAGAAAAATATTTGCTGCTCAAAGGGGGATATTTTATCTGCCCTGAACTTTCGCATAGGACTTTGGCATACGGAATCTTCAGCTGTTTGTACTACACTATAGTGAGCCTTCTGATTTCGTTGAAAGCTATGGTAACAACGAAGCATTGATCTTGTTGTTACGTAGTGTTAATAACGATAAATTGGAAGTCGAATGTTGCCAGTGTTGAAGATGGGTATATTACACGCGTACGATTGATCAGGAAGATAGTAACAATAAACAAATTGTAACAGCGTGAACTTGACAATTGCTAACCATAAACAAACGTAAATCTCCAAATGCTCTTGCTAATAATTCGAATAAACAATCATTAAGATAATCGATATGCAGAGATACGCGTAGGAACAAAATCACACATGGATCAATCCTAATTATGAGATGTACAATAATGAGACAATCTTAAAAAAATAACCGTCATTGGGAATCAAATGATCTAGCAGTTAAACTATAAAGCAAATATAAGATATCATGTGAAGTAGGAGGATCTAGAATTAATACCTGGAAAAAATTAGAAATTCATAGCCCATAGATCAATGATTTGCTTGATAATCCACAAAGTTTTATCTGAACAAAGTAACAAGAAGTTCGATAAGCAATCCTTGTATCATATATTTCATATTAGGCTTTTTTACTATGATCCCATTTCCAACCGGTTACAAAAAAAGCAGGCTTGGAAGATGCTCCCAGGATAACTCTGATCAGGCCTGTAGGTATAGTACTAGAAAATAGACCATCATTATAGATACAAAGTACCATTGTTGTGCCGGAAAAAGCGCTGATCACTTATACTCGGAACGAGGGACATCGGCAATTCCCAAGATGCGAATGTAAGAACACAAGACTGGCATAAGTGAAGATTTATTAGCCCCAAAGCACGACGACGAACGATGATCAAAATAGTCTAAAATACACTGGTCTATATATTGATTGTACATCCATTTTTGATTAATAATTAGAATGTAATTCACATATATGAAAAATACTCACAGTATAACAAATCACAGACTGAGTGTAGTTCATGTCAATGGAATACAAGAATATCGTTTATTATACAGAATAAAATATCATACGAGACAATAAAAAAAATACTGCATTGAGTAATCACCACATTGAATTAGAAGGGAAGTAATGTTGAACAAAACGAATAATAAGTAAATCAATCGAAAATTGATTTTTCTTCCCATCATATCACCATATGATGCGATTCCATAATTTGAGTGCTTTGAAAGGATATAAACATTGACTCCAGAACCCATAATTCAATGAATCCCAAGTGGCTAAGCATTCATCAAATTATACCACCTTATATTTCGTTATCACCGAGTGCGAATTGCATAAGATCTATATTACTTAACAATATGTATTTTCTACCTCCTTATATATAGTACGAGCATTCCGTGTACCTAAATTAATGGTTAGCGTTTTTTAGCGAGTTAGTTTTCTACGGAATGAGGTCGGTAACTCCATGCCCAACTCACCTCCTTTACCCGGATTTGGAACCGGCAGTAGCTCCAGAGGGGTTCCAGGCGGAGTTTCCTTATCTACCAGCTAAGTGAAAATTTATTTGGATGCCACTGGATCTGTCTAAAGAAAAAGGCACAATGTGACTATAACAAATCTCTGGTAGCACCGGGTTATGTCTATATATTCGTACACAAATTCATAGTTCGGCTACACACACGTATTAAAGACAGACGGAAAACTATATATGTATAAACACCGAGTGATAAAAGGAAAGTCAAACTGTAGGTTGCGACAGACATAAAATTGATAGTGATTTCTAACAACTGCAGTCGAGAACCGAATGCTAACCACAACTGAAATAATGTCCTACAATCCAACTAAGTTCTGAATATACTCTCAGCTCTATTTTGATGCTCTTTCAATACTCCTAGTGATGGTTTATCAAATCTAAAATGGAAAAAGATTACTGAACAAATTACGACCTTTACGAGATATTTACAAATCATCTAATAAAAATATCAGACTAGAATGAAAACTAAAGACGATTTTCATTATTCAGTATTATTTATGATAATTATAAGGAAGCATCAAAAGTAACCGAGTCAGACAAAATATTATGAAATTTAAGAGCATTATCACAAATAACAAAAATTTGAATAGAAGTGAGGAAATTGAGAACTCCATTGCACACTGTCATCTTAAACTACTTACATAATTAGACAGAACCAAAATAAAACAAAATACAAGTCATATAAGTTTTTTTTTAAAAAAAGAAAGAAACCCAACACAGCCTTTTAAAGATATTTTTTAAACGGAACCCCTATATTAAAGTACTTTATCAATTGTCTTGAAAACCAAATATGTTAATGTCAACTTACAAATGCGACTTCAGTTCTCAAAACAACCTAAAATAAGATTGAAGCTGATTGGTGTTACATAGAAGAGGTATGTATGATTCACAGAAATACAAAAAAAGTAGAGAAAATCAGGCCTTAAACCAAGATTATGCTTCTGTTTCTACTTCTGGCTCCATTTCATAGTGTTTAAGATCAGATAATACATGTGCGAAACTAGACCAATCATCAGTGGCAGGTTGAGAAAGACTTTCGTGAACATTACAAACAGTAACACGGCCGGTATCATCTCCAACAGCTACATGTGTGCCTGCAATATTCCAACGGCATTTATTTAAAGCAACACCAACTAGACCAGATGATGACGATGAAGATGTGTCTACATTGCTTGATAATCCTAATTTGCGACGAGCCACAGGAATCTGGAATGAAGTAAATAAGTCAAAGCAATCAAATAAAACGAATACAGGTAAAGCGAAGTATTTGAAAATTCAGTTCTAAATTTCTGTAACTCAATTTACAAACACTTACTAATGACAATGTAAGGTCAAGAAAAAATTATTACAGGAAGTCCCCAATAACAACTGTTAACAGAAAACCTGTCTACATCCGTCTCGCATTCAAAGGTGCGAGGATTTCAGGCAGGATCGACAGAAGGATTAAAGCAGGGTCAAAGAGAAGCTTCCTTGCAGCCCAACTACTCTTGGTGCATAACAAAAAATGTTCCATAAATCAATCAAAAGTGAGCCGATACCCTTCTAAAGTCACCTGTACATATATTTAAGAAATTAAATATACCTGTAGAAGCAAATACATAGAAGGAACTGAAGGATCTTCCGAACATAATCCCCGAAAGTTGTGGCTGAAATGAAGTAAAATATTCACAAGTGCGATTGATAAACATATGTACAGGTTAATAATCCGCAAAACAGTTCTCAATATAAAACTGCTTCACTAATATTCGTTCCGTTATAACAGCTTGCGAAATGTATAGACATTGATCTCCAGAAATAGAAAAATTCAACCTTAACATTTGTACAAAAGCTAATAATATCATTCGACTGTTCAAACCGAAGTAGATAGAATACGAAATGATTCAAAGCCAAATGCATCAAACAATTGACAGAAGTACATGATTATGTCAAATTCTTCACAAGTAGAATGAAATGTTAGCTTATAATTCAATAGTTAAATCTTTTCAAAACATACTGATTAGTAGAAGGGATGACGGTTCAATCAAACGTTCCGTATAAATGATCTTCACCTAAACCAATCAACTAAAGATAATACAATACATACAAGCTATTTTCAACAGTGAAATTGAAATTATCACTATTAAAATAACAACAGTAATACACAAGTTTCAAGAAACGAATAATAATAATAATAATAATAACAACAATTACTTCAGCATCTTGATTCATATCCCATATATCTAAATTTCCAGTACCATCAACAGCGGAAAATACAGCCGGATGTATAGGACTCCAGCATACATCATAAACATAATCCGAATAATCATCAAATGTATGTATAGGTTTATGTTCACGTGTAGACCATAAACGTACAGTCCAATCTAATGATGCAGTAAGAAACAGCGATGAAAAACTAAAAGCACCAGGACTTGGATGAGTAGAGATGGCTGTAAGAGGTGCACCATGTCCTTTATATGGAACATGACGTGAAGTTTCTTCAGCAACACCCGTACGACTAAAGAGGATTCATAAGTTTTATTAGTTTAACTATATTTTTTTTAAATATGTAATACAACTCATTAAAGTCAATAATGAATTTAATAAACTAAGCTTCTTACTGAAACTTGATAATTTACACGTCTAAACTAAACTTCTACGATGCATGTTTACCTTGTAGATACTTTAACAACTGGTAAAATTCAACAATGAAAAACCCTGAAATATTTAGAATTTATATTCTAAAAGAATTTTAATATGTATCATGGAAACTATGTAAATAAAAGAAGGTAGATACACTTCGACTGTCTATGCTGAGTCTATTTGTCTGCAATATAACAGAGGTCTGTCTGTATACACTACATATCAGATGTTTGAATTGAACATCAAACGAAATAAACAGGCGCTTATACAGATTTAGAAATGTACAGATGAGCTGAATATTGAAAATTATACAGTAATTAATGTGATTAAGTATATTGATTGAGTTAACCACTATGATAAATTTTATTCACTAAAATGACAATTTAAACAAATAATCCATAAGTTCCGTTCACCACTTAACAATCATATATAACAAACACTATTGTTAAATGACGTACTTAATTAGTTATAAATTTATTTAGAAGTAGCAACTGGAAACAACTGAAGAGGATTGTCTAGGACAAAGTTCGATAGAGAATGCTTGTGATCGGCCTATGTTCCCCCACGAGGGGTAACAGGTGTAAGGAAATAAGTATAAATTCATTTGAAAGTACAATTATAATTAAGAACTTATTTTTCAATTAGTGTGATAAGTAGATTGTCTGCATTCTGTGCATAAAGTGTGAGATAATAAACCATAAACAATGAATGAATGAATAAGAAATCAGAATAAAACAGGATTTTTAACATCAAAGAAAACGGTATAACAATAGTGATTATTGAAATGAAATATCTACTGTTCAAGATAAGATAAATAACAAATATATTATTACTATTGCAAATAACTGTAACTAATTTGTTTACACTTTGTAACTACTACTGATGTTATTTATCACTCAGATATCAACTAATAATTTTCAAACATGTTATGCATAAAACAAACTTTTGACTACCAAACCTTTCTGTTATATTAATTGCATTCATGTATATCAATTTTTATCGAGATCATGAACCAATTAATGTTAGATCATCACTGGAAAAATGAAAGCACCGGACGGCCGTTTCGTCGTAGTATCGGACTACTCAGCAGGGCGCATCCACGACTCCCACGAGGAGCTCGAACCAAGGACCTTCGGTCTCATATGAGAACCCTTAATCTCTAGATCACCGAACTGACATCCTGGGTTCAAATCCTGCGTGCGAGATCATGGATACACGAAACGGCAGTCCAGTACTCTCAGCTTTCCAATGGTGGTCTGACATCGATCGGTTTATGGTCTCAGTGAAACCCAACAATCTCCACAACCATATACTGACAAATCAATTTTACCGATTAACTTATTTTCCAAGTAAATATTAGTATAACTATATACTAGTGATACCACTCGGCTGCTCAAACTAAAGTAGATAGACCGGAGTTCAAGCATGCAACTTAAACTGACAGTTGAAAACCTTAAACAATGAGGTACCGCTTTAACATATCAATTAGTCTAACATCGCATCGTACATAAATTAATTAATCCTCCGCGTCATCTAGTCAACCTTATAACTTTCTATATTAGTTAATACACATAGTTCGCTCTATCTTGTTGAACAGAACAAGAACAAAGAGTGGAGCAGAATACCATGAATTCATCTTATTTCTTTCGCTTCTTATCAGATGCAAAATTGGTGGAAATTAATTATCTGAAAGAGTTGAGTTGAAAGTTACTTTGAAGATACGTCAGTGTAATATAGCATCTGTAATGGGTATGATATTAACATCATTTGTAGGTATCATTACCTAGGTTTGACTTGATAATTTCCAAAAAATTAAGCACTGGGTTTATTTTTATTTGAGCACATAAATATTGGCACAAGAGGGCACCAAATATATATGCACCACACATTTAATAAGGGTTTGAATGATCCCATTGTTAATGTTCAGGGCTGAATTCTGATCAGTCATTATTGACATACGTGCATCTTGTGTGTACTGTCTCAAAAAATATATTTGCACAAGCTCTCTGAGATAGATGGATTGTGATTACTGGATGGATACCGGAATTCAGTCCTGAATATTTAAAGTACGATAATTCAAACACTCGTCGTTAATTATGATGTGCTTGGACAGTGAAATTAATTATTAAATTTAAAAAGATAAATAAATAAATACTAATTTATTATTACCTGCTATGCCGTTGTCCACAATAAGCATTACCATTTTCAGCACCAACAGCGTAATTATTCACATCATTAGCAAAAAATGACATACATGTAGGATAAAGATCGAACAGACCACCAGAAGACATTTCACAAACTTTACTTTTCTCTCGTGGTTGTGCTAACATTTCTAAACTCCATGCACATAATGAGCCATCCGATCCTAAACTAATAATATTGTGGGCATTCTGAGTACCAATTAGTGTAATTGCAAATACTGGATGGGTATGAGCCCATGATGTTAATGGACTACGCTGAACTGGTGTTCGTTTATTGACTCTATAATTCGAGAGAGAGAAAACTCGTTTATAAATATGACGAAGTAACTTATACAACCAAGTACTGGTTCATGCAATCGGCTTCGAGTTACTTTATGTGTGAGGACTAGTGATCTTACCCAGGCGTAATGTAAAAGCATGAGTGGTGTATGCTTCTCCAGAAAACTAATGTAAAATTAGCCTCTTCCGGGGTATATTTATAATTGTGTGAAGGGCATATTCTTGGGAGCATTATTGAAATGTCAACAGAGGTAATCGCATTAACCTGAGTATGTTAAGCAAGGATGAGTTTAAGGAAGAGTGAAATGAAGTCTAGGATATTTGTTCGAGACATGTTGTAAGAGTACTAAGAATGATAAATCAAAAGCAACTTTGGAAGTAAAACAAGTACAATGGAATAAAACATAGCCAGTGCAATGAATACCAGACTATTGAACTAAGTGGTGTAAGAATTTAAACTTGATAAATAATTATAAACAATATTGAAAATGGTAGACAGTTACAGATGACATACGACATTTTAGAACAAATCTCATTGATCTAGTCACATTAAATTACTTTTCTTGACCTAATAACTGGAAAGAAAATGTTAGGTTAGTCTTATAAACAACAATCTCACGCTTTAGTTATATGTTTTACACTAACATTCTGTATTTTTTCAATGGTTTGTTAGGTAGTATAGAGGTTTTTTTCTTTTATCAACTCATTACCAGAAACATATTCGTGTACCTGTATTTGAGTTACATTTTAAGTGTGACGGCTAGCACGATACTATAAGTTGAATTGAACTAAAATAGGTAGAACACGATTTAAACTTGAGACTTAATGGTTGAATTTCGGATAGATTAACCACTGAACTACCCCTCTGTACATGATTTTTAAGATTTCATTAAGTTAGAGTATCTTTTTAGAAAAAAATTAGTTAACCTACCGACTATCCCATAAGACAATCTGTCCAGAATAAGTACCACCAACTACAATGTTTGGATGGAAACGTGATAAACTAGCCGATGTGACTGGGGATTGACAATGAAATATAAATTCCGGTGTTAATTTCTTTGGATATTTCATATTCCACATTAAGCAAACACCTTCAGGTTCATGAACAGCTTCTTCATTCATATGATATGCTGCAAGTAATAATTCTGGAAATATAGTTGACCAATCTAAACCAGTGATTGTACGATGTTTAGACCATCTTTCATCAAAAAATTCATTCGATACAGTTAACAATTCATCAGACCTAAAACAAGAAAAAGCGATAAATAAGAATATAAGAATTAAAATTTGATTTCAATCAATAACAAAACGATACTGCGACACAAACGGATTGAAAAGATTCTACTGTATTTCTGCACTGCTGTACACGTAGGACGTTGATTCCAAAGAAAACCAATAAGTAAAGCCTCGCTTGTCGAAGTAGCCACTGGTTAAGCATGGGCAACACATATCTTAAATACCTCAATTAGTGAAGATATTCACTAACCCACTAACTGACTCATAACCTTTGTCAGGCACCCTATGCCTAAAACACACAGAACAAGAAACCATAAAAAGTGAATGGACGGAATGTGGCTAGCGACCAAATCCAAGAAGAGCATTTCGTCCTATTTGAGACTTGTCAACACGATGTACATGCATCCTAGAGTTGAGTTCGGAAATTATTACCAATTGAATGTTACAATTTTCATCAAAAAATGGAGAGAAAACAACAAGAACTAACACCTAACTCCGAGGTTACCGAACTTTAAACAAAAACAGACATGATCGTATCATGTTGTTAGAAGTTATAATTAGACGATCAGTTATTTCAAGACTATGATAAAGCACTAGTTACTAATCATGTGCGTCTGTGCAGAAATGGATTGTTTGAAAAACTATGTATCAAATGTATACTCTGAAGGTGGTAGGAAGTCGGATAAGTCTGTAAAATGACTTTTCTTGATATAGCCAGGTGTAATAGGAATAGCCATACAGTGAGTTACTACTGACTGATCTGCAAACTAAGGTCGTTAAATTCATTTTTGTATTGGTTTTCTGAATGTCCCCATTGACGTTTAGGACTGAAATTGATCAGTCTCTTGTTGGCATACGTGCATACTATGCGTATTGCCTCGGGTCACAAGCATTATAAGCATACACTCTTGCAATGGCGCAGGTGCATACACTCTTTGTGTTCTCCCAAATTTTGACCTCCTTATTCTTCCTTGTCTCTTTTTTTCGCCTCTCAAATTTATTTCACTGTATTACACTCTTTAAGTAACATCTCCAAACACTAATCTTCCCGATTACTGCTTATACTCTTATTACCTCTACTACTACGGGATTTGAATCGGCCACTGCATCTCTATGCTAATGTGGTGTGGCAACTCGAACTGGTGTACGTACGTACGAAGTTCTACGTTGTTACTGACTGACTGACTGATTATAAGCAGAGACGGCTAGTGGCTAGCAGTGGAATCCAAAACGCACGTTTCATCCTCTTTGCAACTCGTTTTTGATTGGTACTGTGCTTTTACCTTACCGCTAAGGTACGACAGAAGAATTACAACATACATTGGAAACATGCTAAATTAAGGCCTTCTATAATACAACTAACACTCTAAGAAACGCCTTACTTAGAATAAAAGATACGATCATGTTCACTTCCACGGTCAATTGAATGAAACTCCATACTATACATCAACTTCCTTGATTGTGAAAAAGCGTGTTACAACGTGGATAGGAAAACCTAATGGGACCTTCTTCGACACTATGATGTATCGAAGAAGATTGTCAACATTCATACAATGAACTACAATGCAAAGTCGTGCATGGAGGACAGATGCATACCAAGTGTGGAACGGTGTCAGACAAGGCTGTTTACTCACACCGTTTCCCTTTCGTCTGGTGGTTGACTAGAATATGAAGATCTCCACATCTCAGGAGGAGAATGGAATACAATACACAGATTGGATAGAACTAGACGATTTGGACATAACATATGACTTAGTTGTGCTATCCCATACACAGCAATAAATGCAGGCGAAGACAACAGGTGTAGAAGAAGCCTCTGCAGCAGCACGCCTCAACATACACAAGGGAAAAACCAAGATCCTCAACTACAACATGGAGAACACCAACCTAATCACACTTGATGGAGAAACTGTGGGAGAGGTGGAATCTTTCACGTACCTACGTGGCCAGCATCATCGATGAACAAGGAGGATCTGATGAAGACGTAAGGGAAGGGATTGGAAAAGCAAGGACAAGATTCCTACTGTCGAAGAACATATGGAACTCAAAACAACTGTCAATCAACATCAAAGCTGGAATCTTCAATACGAACATCAAGACAGTCCTATTGTACGGGGCTGAAACTTGGAGAACTATCACACCCACCGTCAGAAAAGCACAAGTATTTCTACACAGTTGTCTAAGCAAGATACTCCATACCCGTTGACCGGATACTATCAGCAACAATCTACCGTATCAAAGAACGAACCAAAGTCCAACTGAAGAGGAAACTAGATAAAAGACGATGGAGGTGGATAGGATATACATTTTGGGAATCACCAGACTGCATCACGAGGCAAGCATTAACTTGGAGTCCTGAATGGTAAAAGTAAAGAGGAAGACCAAAGAGCGCATTGCGTCGAGAATTAGAGGCAGACATCAAGAGAATGGAATAGCAACTTGAAAGTACTTCCGAGGACAGAGTTTGATGGAGAATCCTGGTGGGTGACCTATGCTCTTCCATGAGAGTTAACAGACTTATGTAAGTAAGCCATTAAGCAAGGTCTCTAGGATGTTACGCTGTTTCTTCGAACATCCTCAGTCGAAAGTATTTGTTCAACCTGCTCAGAACCTAACGGGAACTAGTTACCATTGCAAACACTGAAAACAATCCTCATTTTCATAATTTAATTCAGTGTCGGCTGATGGAAGCCGGATTTAATTTTTATGAAACTCATTAACTGAAATTTTAGATGTCTTAAGAGTTTGTTCTGAGTTTCCCCATTAACGTATTTCATCAAGAAGTATCCAGAAGTTTGCATTGCCTGTGCAGTCCTGTTATTGTCCAATAATGACCTATCAAAATGCTATCATGCTCAGACTCCAGGTTGTCTCAAAATGTGGAGGTAGATGCAAGGTTAAATGAGCTTCTCTATGAGAGACTCTAATGGATGGATGTTTGGGTGGTTTCCTAATACCGGTAAATTTCCTATTTTAACATTAAAAATCTTCGTTCATCAATCCCATGAATTCTGATTGATTATGCTGTCACAACTTTTGATGAAAGAGAATATGCTCACTAATCTTTCTTAGCGTATTATGATATGGAGCGCGAAACGTAAGCGGCGTTAACCTCAGATCATCAAAAATCAGCTTTAATACTCACCTCACACCTTTCCTTATGAAATTACCTTCAGAGTCCCTCTATCACAATAGAAACATCGCTGGTTTAGAACGAGTACAAAAATAAGTTAGTTGTTTGGCATGCTGCTCTAAAATATTCTATCATGTTGTAGCGAATTAGGGGTGGAAATGCCCCATATATCTTACCCTAGCTAATGACTGATGCTTTCAATTGCTATCCCTCACCTGCATGGACTTCGTATAAATTCAGTCTATGAACGGATGTAACAGACTTAAGTAAGTAAGGATAACGAACATAAATGATCAAAAATACTCACTCTTCAGTTTCAAGATCTTGACCGGAATAATCCAAAAAGATACCTTCATCTGGATGACAAATCGCTCGTTCAATTATACGTGAAGAACGTTCAAAAAAGCGTAGAAAAGCATCGGATGATAATAATTGAGCTTTTTCCTCCTCTGACATTGGGATAACTAGCAAAGACACGATAAACCAAGGTCAATAAAATTAATGAAATGAAACTCATATTTATCAAGAATTATGGTGTTCAAAATTAAATATATATAACATAATGCAATGAGAAGACGAAGATTATCAGAACTATGTGAAATATTAGCGCAATACATTTCGAACAATCTGATCACACATATACTTGTTAACATTTGTTTTTGTGTACTTACCCTTAACCTGTCTAGTTGACCTTTTAATTTTCATATATAAGTGTTCTTAACAAGTATATGTGTGATCAGATTGTTTGAAATGTGTTGCGTAAATATATTACATAATTCTGATAAAATACGTCTTCTCATTGCATTATCGAAATTTATCAAAGGGGCTAATTGTTTTAAATATATAACATAATGGATAGAACGATAAAAAATATTAGACAAAATGCCAAACACAATTGAAGCTGTATACTAAGTTGTACACAAAGATGACTTGACTTTCACAAAACAACAAACTAAATCAGATAACCGATATATAGGAACACATCATTGTAGTGTTTACATAAACACCAATGACTAAATTCACTTTGATTTAGATCAGCTGACAAAAGAGTAATATGATTGACAGCATCCTAAAATTCATAGTAGTAGTAGTAGTAGTAGTAGTAGTAGTAGTAGTAGTAGTAGTAGTAGTAGTAGTAGTAGTAGTAGTAGTAGTAGTAGTAGTAGTAGTAGTAGTAGTAGTAGTAGTAGTAGTAGTAGTAGTAGTAGTAGTAGTAGTAGTAGTAGTAGTAGTAGTAGTAGTAGTAGTAGTAGTAGTAGTAGTAGTAGTAGTAGTAGTAGTAGTAGTAGTAGTAGTAGTAGTAGTAGTAGTAGTAGTAGTAGTAGTAGTAGTAGTAGTAGTAGTAGTAGTAGTAGTAGTAGTAGTAGTAGTAGTAGTAGTAGTAGTAGTAGTAGTAGTAGTAGTAGTAGTAGTAGTAGTAGTAGTAGTAGTAGTAGTAGTAGTAGTAGTAGTAGTAGTAGTAGTAGTAGTAGTAGTAGTAGTAGTAGTAGTAGTAGTAGTAGTAGTAGTAGTAGTAGTAGTAGTAGTAGTAGTAGTAGTAGTAGTAGTAGTAGTAGTAGTAGTAGTAGTAGTAGTAGTAGTAGTAGTAGTAGTAGTAGTAGTAGTAGTAGTAGTAGTAGTAGTAGTAGTAGTAGTAGTAGTAGTAGTAGTAGTAGTAGTAGTAGTAGTAGTAGTAGTAGTAGTAGTAGTAGTAGTAGTAGTAGTAGTAGTAGTAGTAGTAGTAGTAGTAGTAGTAGTAGTAGTAGTAGTAGTAGTAGTAGTAGTAGTAGTAGTAGTAGTAGTAGTAGTAGTAGTAGTAGTAGTAGTAGTAGTAGTAGTAGTAGTAGTAGTAGTAGTAGTAGTAGTAGTAGTAGTAGTAGTAGTAGTAGTAGTAGTAGTAGTAGTAGTAGTAGTAGTAGTAGTAGTAGTAGTAGTAGTAGTAGTAGTAGTAGTAGTAGTAGTAGTAGTAGTAGTAGTAGTAGTAGTAGTAGTAGTAGTAGTAGTAGTAGTAGTAGTAGTAGTAGTAGTAGTAGTAGTAGTAGTAGTAGTAGTAGTAGTAGTAGTAGTAGTAGTAGTAGTAGTAGTAGTAGTAGTAGTAGTAGTAGTAGTAGTAGTAGTAGTAGTAGTAGTAGTAGTTAGTAGTAGTAGTAGTAGTAGTAGTAGTAGTAGTAGTAGTAGTAGTAGTAGTAGTAGTAGTAGTAGTAGTAGTAGTAGTAGTAGTAGTAGTAGTAGTAGTAGTAGTAGTAGTAGTAGTAGTAGTAGTAGTAGTAGTAGTAGTAGTAGTAGTAGTAGTAGTAGTAGTAGTAGTAGTAGTAGTAGTAGTAGTAGTAGTAGTAGTAGTAGTAGTAGTAGTAGTAGTAGTAGTAGTAGTAGTAGTAGTAGTAGTAGTAGTAGTAGTAGTAGTAGTAGTAGTAGTAGTAGTAGTAGTAGTAGTAGTAGTAGTAGTAGTAGTAGTAGTAGTAGTAGTAGTAGTAGTAGTAGTAGTAGTAGTAGTAGTAGTAGTAGTAGTAGTAGTAGTAGTAGTAGTAGTAGTAGTAGTAGTAGTAGTAGTAGTAGTAGTAGTAGTAGTAGTAGTAGTAGTAGTAGTAGTAGTAGTAGTAGTAGTAGTAGTAGTAGTAGTAGTAGTAGTAGTAGTAGTAGTAGTAGTAGTAGTAGTAGTAGTAGTAGTAGTAGTAGTAGTAGTAGTAGTAGTAGTAGTAGTAGTAGTAGTAGTAGTAGTAGTAGTAGTAGTAGTAGTAGTAGTAGTAGTAGTAGTAGTAGTAGTAGTAGTAGTAGTAGTAGTAGTAGTAGTAGTAGTAGTAGTAGTAGTAGTAGTAGTAGTAGTAGTAGTAGTAGTAGTAGTAGTAGTAGTAGTAGTAGTAGTAGTAGTAGTAGTAGTAGTAGTAGTAGTAGTAGTAGTAGTAGTAGTAGTAGTAGTAGTAGTAGTAGTAGTAGTAGTAGTAGTAGTAGTAGTAGTAGTAGTAGTAGTAGTAGTAGTAGTAGTAGTAGTAGTAGTAGTAGTAGTAGTAGTAGTAGTAGTAGTAGTAGTAGTAGTAGTAGTAGTAGTAGTAGTAGTAGTAGTAGTAGTAGTAGTAGTAGTAGTAGTAGTAGTAGTAGTAGTAGTAGTAGTAGTAGTAGTAGTAGTAGTAGTAGTAGTAGTAGTAGTAGTAGTAGTAGTAGTAGTAGTAGTAGTAGTAGTAGTAGTAGTAGTAGTAGTAGTAGTAGTAGTAGTAGTAGTAGTAGTAGTAGTAGTAGTAGTAGTAGTAGTAGTAGTAGTAGTAGTAGTAGTAGTAGTAGTAGTAGTAGTAGTAGTAGTAGTAGTAGTAGTAGTAGTAGTAGTAGTAGTAGTAGTAGTAGTAGTAGTAGTAGTAGTAGTAGTAGTAGTAGTAGTAGTAGTAGTAGTAGTAGTAGTAGTAGTAGTAGTAGTAGTAGTAGTAGTAGTAGTAGTAGTAGTAGTAGTAGTAGTAGTAGTAGTAGTAGTAGTAGTAGTAGTAGTAGTAGTAGTAGTAGTAGTAGTAGTAGTAGTAGTAGTAGTAGTAGTAGTAGTAGTAGTAGTAGTAGTAGTAGTAGTAGTAGTAGTAGTAGTAGTAGTAGTAGTAGTAGTAGTAGTAGTAGTAGTAGTAGTAGTAGTAGTAGTAGTAGTAGTAGTAGTAGTAGTAGTAGTAGTAGTAGTAGTAGTAGTAGTAGTAGTAGTAGTAGTAGTAGTAGTAGTAGTAGTAGTAGTAGTAGTAGTAGTAGTAGTAGTAGTAGTAGTAGTAGTAGTAGTAGTAGTAGTAGTAGTAGTAGTAGTAGTAGTAGTAGTAGTAGTAGTAGTAGTAGTAGTAGTAGTAGTAGTAGTAGTAGTAGTAGTAGTAGTAGTAGTAGTAGTAGTAGTAGTAGTAGTAGTAGTAGTAGTAGTAGTAGTAGTAGTAGTAGTAGTAGTAGTAGTAGTAGTAGTAGTAGTAGTAGTAGTAGTAGTAGTAGTAGTAGTAGTAGTAGTAGTAGTAGTAGTAGTAGTAGTAGTAGTAGTAGTAGTAGTAGTAGTAGTAGTAGTAGTAGTAGTAGTAGTAGTAGTAGTAGTAGTAGTAGTAGTAGTAGTAGTAGTAGTAGTAGTAGTAGTAGTAGTAGTAGTAGTAGTAGTAGTAGTAGTAGTAGTAGTAGTAGTAGTAGTAGTAGTAGTAGTAGTAGTAGTAGTAGTAGTAGTAGTAGTAGTAGTAGTAGTAGTAGTAGTAGTAGTAGTAGTAGTAGTAGTAGTAGTAGTAGTAGTAGTAGTAGTAGTAGTAGTAGTAGTAGTAGTAGTAGTAGTAGTAGTAGTAGTAGTAGTAGTAGTAGTAGTAGTAGTAGTAGTAGTAGTAGTAGTAGTAGTAGTAGTAGTAGTAGTAGTAGTAGTAGTAGTAGTAGTAGTAGTAGTAGTAGTAGTAGTAGTAGTAGTAGTAGTAGTAGTAGTAGTAGTAGTAGTAGTAGTAGTAGTAGTAGTAGTAGTAGTAGTAGTAGTAGTAGTAGTAGTAGTAGTAGTAGTAGTAGTAGTAGTAGTAGTAGTAGTAGTAGTAGTAGTAGTAGTAGTAGTAGTAGTAGTAGTAGTAGTAGTAGTAGTAGTAGTAGTAGTAGTAGTAGTAGTAGTAGTAGTAGTAGTAGTAGTAGTAGTAGTAGTAGTAGTAGTAGTAGTAGTAGTAGTAGTAGTAGTAGTAGTAGTAGTAGTAGTAGTAGTAGTAGTAGTAGTAGTAGTAGTAGTAGTAGTAGTAGTAGTAGTAGTAGTAGTAGTAGTAGTAGTAGTAGTAGTAGTAGTAGTAGTAGTAGTAGTAGTAGTAGTAGTAGTAGTAGTAGTAGTAGTAGTAGTAGTAGTAGTAGTAGTAGTAGTAGTAGTAGTAGTAGTAGTAGTAGTAGTAGTAGTAGTAGTAGTAGTAGTAGTAGTAGTAGTAAAGAAGAGCTCAGATAGTTATTTGCAAAGATATTAAAGGATTATGAGGTATTTTATCGATCTAACGATAATTTTTGCATCTCTTAAAAATGTTTACTTCGTCTATGATCAATTCACAAACTTGATTCAGTCCTATAGGTGAATAGATAAGAAATTTCATATATATGATTATTAATTTTAGAGAAGTGAGATTTCAACATTTTAAGGTAATAAATCTACTGTACTACTAAATACTAAATCCCCATCTCAGTATATTTACAAACCATACTACTTACAATGAAATCAGTCTATTTTCACTAGGGAGAGCAGAAATAATAAACAAAATAACTATCGAAAGTGAATAACATGTTTTGTAAGTTTGGTATACATCAGTGATTGCACAAGTCAGTCATGTGCAAAATGACTACATGGAAATTCACGTATTGTTATATCGCCTTATCTAATTCAGTTGAAAACATCAAGTTGAAATAAATCGGACTATAAGGACTCCTACTATACTACATAAGAAAATTAACTTCATAGAAAAGCCGTAACATAAGTTATTTCGACATAACAGTTCTCATTATATATATATATATATATATATATATATATATATATATATATATATATATATATATATATATATATATATATATATATATATATATATATATAAAGTTTGGATCGATCCAAGTATTAATGACAAAAGACATTATGAAACAAAATGATGCACAATTTCATAAACTTCAGGAATTTATTTGGAGGTGATTGATTTCGAACACCTTGATAACAAAAATATTGAATCGCGGATGTTAATGGTTCCATTAGCAAATCAATTACAAATAGTGGGATTATAAGAAATAAAGTTGTCCATAGCCACCGTAACCGGTGGTTAGTTGAAATAATTTGGAATGTTGCATAGACATCAATAATTAACTACCGCAGATAGGCTTCCAGATGGGTGTTATTTAACGTGAGAATTAGTAGGGGGGAAACTAGACCATGAACTATTCTAAAAAGAAAATACATTAAGTAGAAACTAATAATATTATTATTGAATTATATTGGAATATCGACAAAGAATTTCGTTCAGATGAGACGGATCGCTTGGATGTTGCTTATGATTCTACCGATACGATGTTCTATGATATTTGAAATTAATATGAATTTCTTAAAGAGTACGTTGCATCTAGTGAGCCAATCCACAATCTGTAACCTGTTTATGTGAATATACACTGAAGACGACTCTGATATCAACGAGAGCATAGAATCAACACTCCATAGTCATTTGATATTAGCACAAAAGGAATTAAATGTGAAAAGCAACGATATATGATACAGTTTGTAGAAATAAGAAACTCAATGAAAACACTGAACAGAAAAATAGTGAAAATTACAAAGGCTTTTTTATAATATTGCTTAATTTTAATGTAAATTACGTACTATCATTACGTTGAATATCATTTAAGGTATTCTCGTCAACACCATCAGTACTTGTCCGTATTCCATCAATTTTATCTAATATTCCACGAGATTGTCCAGTTTTAGTGACACCGATATGAGGCATCTTTTCCAGTTCCGCTAACGCAGCATTGGCATCCACTTCATCACGATTACCTTCATCGTATGTTAATACTGTGAAAAAGAAGCATTGTTCCATTCAACATACAAAAACTAATGTAATACAATAATGAAATCTTGCACACGTTGAGAACAAACATACTGTATGATATCATTCACTAGTATATTAACCGAAATATTTTCAGTATTCATTAGAGGGGTAAGGTATACACTCAAGTGATATATATATAAGTAAAAATGTAAAACGGCACTAAAATAATAACATTTAGTAAGCTGTCACGATCGTGTTTAATCAGTATCACTTGACAAGGTTTACCAATCAGAATCTAGACTACAATTCTCTATAAACCAAACTTCTATTGTGATCTGAGCACACACAAGCTATGACTGATAAGAGTTAAGCTTTTACTATGACCGAGATAATGCGAATCCTAGTTGGTGTCCTCGACGTAGCTTCCTCAGCATTCAGTGTAATAAAAGAGCATAGAGAGCAGATAATTTCTTTACAATTCAAACTCATACAATAATGTACAGTGAATTCCAGACCGTACAAAAACATTAATAGGGAATTACAATGTGTGCATAACTACGTCTTAAGTGAAAGAGAAACTGATTAACAAGTACGTAATTAATAAATAAGGAAGACGAAATATACAGCAATAGTTTATACACCACACAGAAAAATTTGAGTAAAAAACGATCCAAGAGTTTAATAATTATGCAATAAAAATATAACCAATAATTTTCTTCAATTTAGTTAGAAAAAGATACAGTTTTCACAAAATTTGTTCCATTTTAAATATGAACATTGATAGAAAAACAACGATTTAAAAGAATACTTGAACAAATCATTGAACAAGTAAATTAACTAGATCTTGAAAAGAGATAAGAAAATATATTGAACTTACTACATTTTATCACAGAAAGAAAATTATTCTTTTTGAACTTAGTGAAATATGATACAAATAAATTATAGGTCACATTGAGACCAGAATAGGGTTGGATGGAGAATGCTGGAGAGCGGCCTATGCTCCTTCACAAGGAGTAACAGGAGTAAGTGGGTAAGTAACTGATAACTTGAAATATAACTTTGTATGATTAAGTATATCACACAATAAAAAAGACTTGTATTTTACCATTGAACATGATAAAATATGGAACTACACTAACATTAGTGTAGTATGAATATTATGGTTAATGAAAATTTTATTAAAACGTTATTTTGTAGATAAAATTTAGTTCAATATCAGTAAGACAACGATTAAATAGCAAACTATAAACACTACTAATAAACATCAACGAATGATTAGTGAGACTTGAAAGCTTTAGATGAACTAACAGAGGATCACGATACAGCTTGGAATATGATAATAAGCGAAAGCTAGTTAGGTGTAGATTGATAAAAAAATTGTACACGGATATTGAGTAGTGGCAGATGATAACAGTGGACCGTATTTCAAATATGGTGAAACTTTCATCTAATCTAAAAACCTTTATTGTTAGTAAGTATACAGGTGGCAGTTTTATTTGATGCTGATAGAATAGGGAGACTTAAAAACCTTGGATGCTAAGCATAGATGTTTGGGATGGATTTCTTTGAAGAATAAGGAGTATGGATTACTGTTTCAGTGTTGATTTACATTGATATTACATTTAACATTTTGCTTATATCAAGAATCTGATTAACCATGTCTTAGTATTGACCAATATTACATATATATAATTCACGTCACATGAGACAGGCGAGGTGTCTGTCGGTTTCTAGCAAAAGATGCAGCAGTCTGCTTCATAATATCTAAACAAGATATTTAAAATTAGACACTGTTATGGAAGAGGGTAGAAATACTCCAATACGGTAATGCATATATAACCACTACCAAGGAATTCCTATTCACTACCTTCTCGCGACGGCGGTATTGCGAATGTCCGGTGTAAAAATCGGGTTGATGGTTGCAGAGGACCCGCCTAAAGAAGTTGGAAAACCCTGATTCCAAACCAATCGTGCATATGGACTACAGGAATCTGAGGGAACAAATGGTGCATGAACCTATTCTCGGTCACCTGCTACCATGGAACCATATCTTTTGGCGCTGTTCCTATGCCTTGTGGATCAGACTTCTACATCAAAGGCTCGGGGAGTGACCCCATAAGAAAAACCATCCACTTAGGTTTGGGTACCTAGGCAGTATCCAGCCCACTTTGAAGTTGACGGATTTGTATGTAGCATATATTTGGTACCACTTCGTACCAATGTTTATAAATTTAAATAAACAAATAAGTAAATAAAATCTTTAAAATATCACACGTGTAACGTCGACATGCCATTCATAAGCAATAGTAAGAGTAGTATCAGTGATAACAAACCTCAGGCATAGACATGAATCCAGAGGAAGAATATAAAATTGTTAAAATTAAAAATTGAGAGAAGACAAACCATTGGTCACGATTATTGCATGGACGCAACCCAGTGGCCAGCATCCAGAGACATGGATCAGTTTAGCAGTCAATAATTTCATGGACATCCTACGTTTTACTTGATACATTTCTAGCTTTCTTCCAACTTATTCTTATCCCATCCAACATCACGCGTCGAGGTAGGGATGACTTGACATATATAGTATGTGTCCTACATACCTGAGTCATTGAAGGTTCACAACCACCCTAATGACAAAATAATATAAGTAGCCAAAGGTCGACTACGTTTTCTATATCTAAGTGAGTGTTTCAGTGATATGGCTTAAAATCAGTAGCAATGACACATTTTATTATTTGATGTATATTAGTTCTCAAATTCAACTGTTCCACATGTAGACTTTACTATCCACATATACTATCCTTTGCTCAGTATACATACATGTTTTAATTACTTCAATCGACAACTTAAAGCAACAAAGGCCACTTATAAACATTTCATAGATAATAGAAACAAAATTATTTAACAATACACTGCAATTTGTTTTGTTTCAAGTTCACACAATAAAAGGTATAGGTAGATATGAGATATAATATTTTAAAAAAACACATGCAAGTACACTCTGAAAGCGAAAATAATACACATTGTATTAGATTTAAGACATGCATAGATATTCTACTGAATTGTGTGTAATTAATAAGAGAAAAATTAAAATAATCTGCATTCAATGAACTATAAATAAAGAACCAAGGCAACATGTCCTTACAACAGAAAGAGAAAAGAAAAACAACTCCAACTGTGTAATTTACAAATAATCAAACGTAATATATTTTATGGCAAGTTATTGAATAAGCTAAGAGAAAAAATCATTTGTACTCGTATGCGTATATACACAGAAATAAGCACAGTAATATTCATTGAGTACTACACATCTACAAAACAATATAACGATTATATATATACACATGAAAACGCTTAAAGAGGCCAGTACAAACGATTTAGGATTTAATGAAGATTGTTCAATACATTGAATAAAATGTAGGACTACGTGGCAAATGGGAAGAAATGTTAATTTTTTTTACACATATATCAATGAATACAGTGTTATGAGTGAAATTTTCGTAAGTATAATGGAAGAGATTTCAATCGTAAAATACGAGAGATTTAAGACTTTAAATGAGGACGACAAGCAGAGCTTTAAATTAAAGATTCGGTTAATTATTATTAAAATTACATAATTAGTTCTACTGTGGTGTGGGTTACTTATATCCACACAAGTATTATATAACGGTGGTCAGGAATAGAATGTATTTCAGCAGAAGATGGATAAGGGAAGAACGAAACAGAATTCAATTTGTATGAAAATGCAAGAAGAATGAAGTCTGAGTCATTTTGAGACAATTGATGGACATTTTGCAAATTAAGTATTTACTATATGATTGTTAGAATTTATTAACAAGTCCTGTAATTTTGTGTCAAACACATTCGATTGTCCCCACTAGTGTTCTGTTCACTACATTTGGTGTCGCTGCCAACCAGGAGAGGAGAAGGGTGTTGCTCTGCGGACGCCATTTCGGGCCTGGAGCTGAGGTGCTGGTTGGTACAGTCTGGTGCGGAGAGGTGGCGTCGAGTGGAGTGTTCTGACGGGGCGGCGTTGGCTGTAGGTGCTGTCGACGGAGAGGAGTGGTGGGACGTGAGGATGGCTCAGAAGGCCACTGGAGCGCAGACGTTGAACGTCCAAGGTGCCGAGAGGATGTTAATGCCCCGGCAGGTCGACGGAGCTATGGAGGTCAGCGCGCTGCAGACTCGACATTTTGACGGAGAGTGTGGCACAGACTGCAGAGAAGAAGTGGCACGGCGGGCAGAACCACCCCCATGAATGAGTGCTTTAAAGGGGGGGACGAGTGTGGTGTGGGTTACTTATATCCACACAAATATAACAGTGTTCAGGAATAGAATGTATTTCAGTAGAAGGTCGATGAGGAAAGAACGGGACAAGAACGGAACGCAATCGGTATGAAAACGCATTAACAATAAAATCTGAGGCAATAGATTGATGTTTGAAAATTAACGATTTACTATATGATTCTCAGATTTTATTGAGATGCTTTGTAATTTTGCGTCAAATACCTTCGATTTTCCCCACTGGTGTTCTTGTTCACTACACATACTTCCTGGATTCCACAGCTAGCCACTATTCAACTTGGTTTAGAATGCTTGTGATATAAAGCACTATCCATCTTTGCTTATACCGCTTACAGATTTTATTAGTTAAACAGATTATGTATGTTTACTTGCAACAGATTTTATCTACTGCTACCTTCGTCATTTTCTTTATTAATACTATCTTTAATATTGAAAGGTGGGGATTTTTCTTGTATGACTTCTCATTCATTATTGATTCGTTTTGTACTTTCTGCGTGTCGCTACAATTGTTTACATTTTACACGTTTATATTTCGGATTCATGCGCAAAGCTCAAGTAGAAATAACCACGTAAATTGTAGTTTTAGAAAACCCATAATGAGATTCAACTTTTTTTGCATATTGTAGTTGCTCTTCAAGAAAATGAGTACAGAATACATAATAGAAAGGTCTGTAACTCTATGACTGGAACACTTGATGACCACTTAATGTTCTAATACTACAATAGGAAATAGACAAATAATTCGAATTCACCGAAGAGCATCATGTCTCTCAAGATAACAGGTACGCCTTATAGACAAGTGCCAAAGAACACGAAGTCTAGATCCAGAGATTCCTGTCGGCTACTCCGATTGCCTAGCATCTCAAGGTGGTGCACACATTTTAGAGTCATTTAAACTAGTGATAACATTGGCACTTGGTCGATGAATTTTATCAGCACTAAAAGGTGTAGACAAACATAATAATATTAGTTGCTACCCAGTGACCGATCAGTTGTCTACAAGTGGTTATTTCATGTAATCTACAGATTATATTTACGACAAAATTACGCATTCATTTATTGCTGGACACCTTATAAATCAGAATAAAAGTGGGACATTTTTCGATAGGTAGTAGGCTTGGTAAAAGACTTCCGCTCGTTCTGGGTACATGTTTAAACTCTGATCATGCTCTAATACGAGTAGGCATATGCCTGTCATATTAAGATCCACTAGAGTTGAACCCAGTGACAAGAAAACCAGAAGTAGATTCCAGGAACAGCTGAGGTCACACTTAGGTAGTTCTGAAAACGAGGCTGACCCAGATGTTGATTGGAAGGATATACAAGCAGCTGTGGAAACAGCAGTGACATCTATCAGTGACTTAAACCACAGGGTTACAAAGAACCAATGGATTTCTGCTAAGTTTATTACACTAATAGATTCTCGTAAACTCATCCCATCACGCTCTGAACACGATAAAGAGCGACAACAAATCAGATGTAGATTAACCAAAAGTCTAAAGAACGACCGTGAGCAGTGGTGGGCAACGAAAGCAAAAGAGGTAGAAAAGGCGGCGGCTGTAGGGAGCACAAGACAGTTCTTCAGACTAACGAAAGAAACTGGGATTAATAAGTCAAGTGTAAGTGAAGCTATCTCGGGAAAAGACGACACTCTTATCTGCTTCCTGTCCAGACGTTTAAAACGATGGGCGGAACATTTTAAGGAACGGTTCAACTGACCTTTAGCCACTAGACAAGTACCCTCCATTCCCAAACAGCCCGGATGGAACATTAAGGCAGGCCCCCAGACTCCAATTGAAGTTCAGAAAGCTACAACCTATCTGAAATGAGGAAGCGCAGTTGGTCCAGATGGATTGGCTCCAAAGACCTGTAAAGATGGTGGTCCAGTTTTCGCGATTACGTTAACTAATATTTTAACTAAAATCTTGGAACTAGGTGTAATCAAATCTGACTGATCGCAATTGCTGATGATCAAGATCAACATTTGATAATAACTAAGGATTAGTTTGACTAATATAGCATCTAAAATACTAGCCTCAATAATCATCGGACGCCTAGCAAACACTCGTGAACTGCAAACCCGAGGAAATCAGACTACCTTCGGACCTGGTCGTGGTTGCATAGACCACATATTCATCATTCATCAGGTTCTAGAACACAGGCATACTTATCGGCGTCTGACAATGGTGGTCTTTTTTAACTTAAAAGCAGTATTTGACTCCGTACACCGCGGGATTCTGTGGCAGTGTGTCATTGAAAAGAGTACTTCAGAAGTACATAAAACCTGTGAAGGCTCTTTACTCGAACACTACTAGTCGAGTCAGAGCTTATGGAGAACTGTCATCTGCTTTTGCAACCTCAAGTGGTGTCCGTCAAGACTGTCCACTTTCTCCATTTTTGTTTAATTTCATCATAGACCTACTGATGCAAATAACGTTCTCGTCGACTGAATTTTCACGAATCGGTCTCATTCCAGGAGGTCCACTTATCGACTTAGAATACGCAGATGATATAGTCCTGTTTGGTGAAGACGCTGATGAAATTCAGAGTCTTTGATAGCACTGAGCAACAATGTCAGAATGTTTGGGATGCGTTTCTCCTTCTCTAACGCAAGTTGTTGATTCACGACTGGTACGCGTCAACACCTAAACTAAGAATAGGGAGTGAAATAGTCAAACGCATCGACAAATTCACTTATCGTGAAAGTCTGATCAGCCCTAACGGGTTGATGTCTGATGAAATCTCAGCACGGATTCGAAAAGCTCGTTTGGCTTTTGCCAACTTACGTCACCTATGACAAAGGCGAGATATCCGTCTATCAATAAAAAGGCGAGAATACTACGCGGCAGTTCGATTTATTCTATTTTATGCCTGCGAAACATGGACAATAAGAGTAGAAGACACTCGTAAGCTACTAGTATTTGACCACAGATGCCTTAGAAATATTGCTGGCGTCTGCTGGGATCACCGGGTAAGTAATAGTGAGGTTCGACGCAGGGTAATAGGGAATGATGGTAAATCAGTTGATGAGGTTGTGAATCTTCATCGACTGAGATGGTTGGGCTACGTGTTACGCATGCCGGAACACCGATTTCCACGACGTGCAATGCTAACCGGTGTTCGGGATGGTTGGAAGAAAGTTAGTGACGGCCAAACCAAAACGTGGCATCGGTGCTTGAAGTCACTAACTTCTGGTCTGAGCCATGTTGTTAGATGCAGACTATTTGGTTGGGGTCCGCGTCACTATCGTAACCAATGGTTAGAGACTCTGAGTGACAGGGGTCAGAATCGATCACAATGGCATAGGTGTATACACTCTTTCTTCCCTTAAACTATGAGATTAAAATCGCTTCATGTCTTTCTTTCTACGAACTAATTCTTTCTTCCTGTACTATATCCTTATTGCAATCTTTCTTTTATATATTACCACCTCTGAATTAACTACTTTTATGAACCCGGTGTCGATCTTGTTATGTTAATGAGGTATGGCAACTTGGACCGATGCATATATTTGCCTGGTCCTACGTTGTAGCTGACGGACTGACTGACGCAAAGCTCTTGGTAATTTATTATTCGTCTTTCTACTTAGTTAACTTTATATGCTATAGACTTACATTGGGACCGCAAATAATCCACTACTAAGTTCATCACCTGTGAGGGGTTATGATTTAGGCGGGTAACTTTTTGAAAACTACCTTCAAAATAAAGAATTTTCACACAACAATATTAGGGGAAGCCAGTTGTTACAAACGCTTTTATAATTAGACTGGCCAATGATAACTAAACAAGTTTTACACTTGTTTCTTGATATTGGAAACAGTACATCTAACATTAGTATTTTTAAGTAAAAACAAATTCTCAAATGTGATAAAATTGATCCATTTGGGAACAAAGTACTCAAATATGATGAAGTACGTAAAAGTACACGAGTATTTGTTTTAGGTCAGTGAACACGATGCGAAGGTTGGGTTTATATGAAGAATGTATAATCTCCGGTTGATGATTCAATTTACAATCGGCATGTGCAACAAGATGGAAAGACCCACCCATTCTTACACAAACATGCACACATGCATACATAAATAGTTATGACAAGTTAATCGAGCTAAAAAGAAACGATACACGATGTTAGCTATATGCTGATGCAGCATAATTCGCTGAAAAGCTTTACAATTATATGATGAAAAAATATACATCAACAGAATTACAATGATGATTTTAACACTACTATTTGCTCCATACAAATAGTGATCAATCAATACCAGCACATCACTAAAAGATCATGTATATAAAAAAGTACTTGATTGGGCATACAAAGCATTTGACGAGGTTGTTTAGGAAGGAATCAAAAACCGTAATAAATAAAAATAACTATCATGATTTCATGTGAAAGAAGTCTAGCTTTTTTCAGTTTATGCACAAAATCGTGTTTATGTTATGAAAAAAGAAAAAAAACTTGTTTTTAGCAAGCATTAAGCGAATGGAAATTGCCGAAACAAAACATAAATGTACGACATTGAAGTGTTTGAAGGAAGGAGTCAAGGATTAACTTACCATAATAATCAGTTGAACGACCTGCTAATCAAATACAGTTTATAGAATATACTACCACAGAATGTCTCAATACCAATCTATCAATTTTTTCCACGTATCATAACTTTATTCAATATGTGAAAGGTTTATGAGAATTCATGTCATTTCCGGAGAGCAGTAATTAGGAACAATGTGTTATTGGAGAACCGCTCACATTATTCTGTAAGACTAAACTTGTCACTAACAGTGATCAAATATAAGTACAGTGATATGGGACCCCATCACTTCGAAACTAGTAAACAGTGAGGTCACTGTTTTATTAGATCGCCGTTTCTAGTTACTCTACGAAAAATTCGTGGATTATATGATCTGCATCTATAAACATTTGTTTCCATTGTTACCCAAGTATTTGAAAGCCAATAACTTGACATCATTTGATTTTGATCAAGGTTTGAAATTATTCTAACCACACTTATGCCTGACTGCTGCCTATTTTCTTTCTAGTGTAGATTGAACATAGTTTAGAGATACAACAGGACACAGTTATGCGATTTTAATGATGTTTATTAACTTCGTTGGTAGAGATTATCCGGGATTTATAACACGCAATAGAATTTTATTATTGTAGCCAGTGGTTATATAGAATTTAAACGGATTGATTGGTAAGAAAGAGTTGTTTAGTACACCTCTGGGATATAGTTTAGGGAGATATTATGTATGGAACGATCATGAAGTGAATGTGTAAACAGAAAACAAATATAAGAAAAAACTGAAACTGAGAAATTGGTTGCTTACTTTCCCGTTCTTGAGGTTCTTCTAGAGTCTGAGTTTCTTTGCTATAAATTATGGTTTCCGGAGGAGGAATCGCAACCTCAAAAATATCGGAAACTTGCAGATTCTTCCGTTTCTTGGAATTACGTTGGCTAACAATAAAAAACGTGTCAGAAATAAGGAAAAGACATATGAAATCATCCTAAATTCATGAGTATTGAGTAAGGAAACAATTGTCATCACCTTGCAATTTATGACATCAGAGCAAATTCACTTTGCGATATTTCACTGATGTAGTCAGCGGAAAAGCGAAGGTGAAAGTTTTATTGAGTGTGGTTTTGTAATAGTTAAACTATTTGTTTATCTTGCCTAAATTAGGGTTTGCCAAAATATCTTTTCATTTATGTGCGTGGCAGATTTTCACACTAACGAATTAAAAAGTTGTTTGCATCCGAAGTTGACAGCAGAGCTAATTAAAGCATGGAGCAAACAGATGAGAAATGGGACAACGTTTTTGGCATTAGTCAAACAAACAAATTTTCGACATTAATTATTTGTAGAAAAACTATATGCTGGTTTCGCATGCCTGTATGACAGCTTAGTTGCAACGAAAATAACAGTGAAAAAAGAACATATCAGTGAACAGCATTGGAAGCCAATTTCAAACTACGTTTTCGAAAGATTAGGAAGCACTGATGACTGGACGCAAATCGTTTTAGCATATCTAACAAAAAGCTTTTATTATGTACATTCGGAAAAAGACGTTTAACAAAGAAGCCTTCAACTTTCCATAACCTTAATTTATTAACGGCGTATGTGTCTCCTGGTGTTCAGATGGATCATTTTTCGACAACTGATGTAACCATGAAAGGTAAAAGAAATCGAAAATATATCTTGTAAATAAACCAGATCGTCTTACAATACATACAATTGTTGATAAGCAAAAAACGATGAGAAAAACTCACAGCATGCCATCAATCGTATCAAGAGACGGTGATTCTAGTTCACGTATGTTACTAGCCTGAGGTACTACGGGTTCAGGTAGGCCAAGATCTTTTAATAATTCCTCAGTCGTTTGACGTATGTCTGAGACTTCAGCATCGTGTATACCAGTTTTCTTTATTTCCTCTCTTTTCTTTTTTCCTCTCGCATAGCAAGAAGCTTTGCTTTTTTTCGCTCTAACTCTGCTTTCCGGTCTGACATCAGGACAGCGATTCTAAAAAGTCAAGTAGCGGTCCTGTCGAATTGTACCCAAAAGGTTGTCGATAATAAAAAGACCGGAACAAAAATACAACTATTTAACGAAATGTCTTAATTACTTCTTCGACGAAATAGTTGCGAAATGATGGTATGATGCAATGTTGTTTAAGTGCACACTAAAATTCCCGGTTGTTCGGGTGTCTACGTTACTCCCGAAATTAGTTTTAGATAGGTTAGTGGTTCTTAGTATATGGAGTCGTATAGCCAGACTTTCAATAGTTTTGAAAATAACTGACCGCGTTTAAAAAGAGGCGACACTTTGAATATGTAAGTCTATTTACTAAACGCTGTTGACTATATTTCGTGAACGAATGACGGTTCAGTCGACGTAGAAATGAGGCTGAGTAGTCTATAAGTATGGATACGGTATGCAAATGCTAAATTACTAAACTCGATTCCTACTTTGCATAGTCCTGCGCAACTATGGATTCATTTTTAAGGTATAGATAACTGTGTGACCCCTCCGTATGAACTTAAGTCGGTTGTCCCATCCTCCATAAAGAGTTTTTGGCAATGTACTACATATTGAGCAGGATAAATAATAACAGTTGGTACGGTTTGCTTCAAGTGTTGTGGAATTTGTGGCTGGAGTTAGCAATTAAATGTTTGTTCCTCTTTAGTAACAAGTGTATAGAGCTTCCAACTTGTTGTAGGAATGCCGATACAATCATGCAACCATTGGTAGGCTGCATCCGCCAGCATGGCTCAGACAAATTGATTAACTATACGCTGACATCACGTGTTGGTTGTTGTGGCTCTTATTTTAAATGTTCGAGTTTTAGGAATTTTAACACTTGAACATAACTTTCTAATTTCTTTAGAGTAGTTAAGTGATGCTGTTTATATAAAAACATGGTTAATCACGGTCAACTCAGGTAGCGTTCTCGTGAAGCTTTACAAATTGTACATGATTCTAAATTTGTATCGCGCGTTGTTCCCATACAATTGATTTCAATAAATTATAGATCGTATTCGCTGCACGACTTATCATGTTACCGTTTCCCTCTTCTAACGACGTCATACTGGTGATCTTTTCACTGTTTGCAATTACACTAGTTACCGGAAATCGAAATGCAACTCAATGGGACGTTCGACGTAAAGCTAGGTAAAAGTTTTCTAGATCGAGATTCAACATCCTACATGACCATGCGTTGTGATTTCATGCCTGCTTCTGTCGATCGTTCACAACCTGGGTCAATCAAAGTAAACGAGAGCAAAGAAGTTGTTGTTAGCCTGCCCAACGTTACAAACTCTGGACCAGATACAGCAACTTTGTTTCGTGGAACTGCACGTCCTGTTCAAAAAGAATGTATTTTGATCTACAATAAAAAGGTGATTTTACAAATCCGTAAAAGTATTTTGAATACAACTGTGATTTTCACATTTGATTGTTTAACGAATTTTAAACCAAGATAAAGGTGCACCACGTAGTTACTGTCATTGTTTGTTTTTGCCAAATGCCCTGATATGGCCGAGGGTAAGGGAGTTAGCTCTCCCTCTCGAAATGCTCTCACGTATACAGCCACTGCCAGGGGAGTACTACCCATTGCCTCCTCGCAGAGGGAGTGTTGTTTACAAAATGGGTTAGACAAAAACCGAATATCCGGTGCTTTAAACGGGTTTGTGGTACGGAGGGTTTACCTAGGGGAGTTGGAAAACCCTGATTTCAAATCAGTGGTGCACATGGTCTCTAAAATACTGGGGGGCGAATGACGTGTAGACCTATTGTTGGTCACCGACTATCGTCGTACTTCATCTCCTAAAGTTGCTCTACTGCCCTATGGATTAGACCTTCGTGTCAAAGGCTCAGAGTGTGACCCGGGCAGTATCCCAGCTTTCATACAAATTAGTGATAACTGCTACTGGCCTCAGTGTTACTATGTGACTCATATGTATTTGGTGTCTCTTTGTACCAATGTTTATGTAGTCAAATAAATAAAAATAAATATATAACTAAGTAGTTTTTGGTTGTTGTCTACTGCTTCACCTCAGGATCACTCATAAATCTTACCAGATTCTAAACACTGATTGACAAACATTTTCAGAATTATTTCGTTGACTAATAATGGTCGTGTTTTCCAAATGTTGTTCATAAACCAATGCATGGCTGAGTTATCCAACTGTCCTTTTCCGTGTTTTATGTACAATAGCCAGCTTTGCTTTTAGCTTCAAGATTTTATGGATACTCTACACCAGTTGTACAAACGTAAACTCTTACTGCATCATTTCAATTTTTTGAGATCCCATTCAATCAAACTTAACGTAGCCACCAAGTTCATGTTTATGCATCCAGCTTTGAAGCATACTATCTAGGTATTCAAACCGACATGAGATAAACGGTGTTCGAACTCTCAACTCAGGTTACTAAGCGTGTCTTGGCCTGTATACCACTGTTCCATTTCAATGCATTCGGTAGTTACACACTTTGAATTCTCGTTGTTTGTTTAGAGAAAATTGACATTCCGTAGTTTATCGGTCATTGACTTTGAAAGGTATGAGTCTCTGAAACACGCTTATTCCGCAGAAGTTGAATAGACAAGAGATTCTAGTTTTTGTTTCATTTCTGTAGACTTCATTGTATGTGTTAGTTTGTGTAAAAGATCACAATATAGTTGGTGTAACTGGTACACTATCCAATGCTAAGTAATAATGAGAAATATTTTATTAATAAATGAATCTATAACAAGTGAGCAATAAATGAATTTTGTCCAGCTTACTCTCAATGATCCCTATCTTGTTCGTTGCAAAATTGAAAAAAAATGGGATTGGTTAAATTTAGTAACATTTTCACAGTAAACTCAAGTGTTTAGGGAAATTGAGTCGGTAATTGTCTATACATTTTCTACACCCTCTAGTCTTATCCAACTGGCACTATTTGTTCAATTCATTCACATTCGTGGTTTTGTACATAATAGTTTGTTGCCTAACTGCATCAAACTATTGTCTGAAGGGTAAATTACTAAAAAAAGCCCGACCCACAACATATGTCATACAATTTGTAAAGTCATTACTGTCGTAAGTTGCGCGTCGATAATAAACCTTACTATTTTCAAACATCTCTTCTTTTCCTTTTGGATAGTTCGAGATGCTTATCATTACCTTTTCTGCTTAAAATGTTAGTTTTGTATTTGGTATATCTTTCTCTGTTACTTGTGTTAACCAGACTACTAGTTATCTTCCTTATCACCGATATGTTTTGTGTTACTCCCTTAGACCCATGAATTAACCTTGGAGAGAATTGCACATACTGTGCAGCTAAAGAAAACCCGAGAAGAACGAAAAGCTGACACCACTTGTCCGACCAACTCAGAAATGCCACAGTTCCAGTCCTTGGCTAGCCGCTCAGAACAAGATTTAAAATCTATTCGACCATCTCCAACCAAAAGAAAATCTAATGATCCCGAGATATCGACTTCGAGTTCTATAGTACAGCAGCCAACTCAAAAAAAGCCTCCACATTCGAGAACGCTAAGTAGTAGTAGTAGCAGTAGTAGTAGTAATAGTGGTACTTCTAGTAGTAGTTGTGACATGGATATTGAAACATCAGAGAGTGATAGTGACAGCTCCTCAGAAAGTGATTCAAATTCATCTACTCTTAGTAGTTTATCAAATGACAGAAACAAAACGTCGAAAGCAAAACCATCTTCAAATGGAAAAACTAATACGAAAACAGTCAATGCAACAAATTTAGCAGCCCATCGTAAACTGATTGAACATGATTTAAAATTAAGTGATTCTGACTCTGATTCTTGTGCATAGAATGTTCTAGGAAAAAAGGCTGTTTTCTGTGATTTGTGCTGTAAATAGTGATTCTTACTATCAAAAGACATTAAAGAAGTGTGTACCACTTTTCCGTATATGATTATCTCATGATTGATTTTATTTGTCTTCAAATAAATACTTCTATTTACATGAATTATGTTCCATTCTTCCTTGCAATTATCTGAAAATTTCGTTTTATTCCTTATCTTTATATTCCATATATAACTCAGATGTTATGCAGTCAAATGATCTTGTGAGATTTATTAACTCATTTAAACCAATAGCTGCTACACCAAGATTATAGTCAGATCTACCTCTAGTGGTACTAAATTCTAGTCATTCTCTTCTCGAGTGTTCGTTCTAGCGATCTTATCATTCCATGTGGATTGACTGGAGAATGTTTCAGATAGTTTAACCTTAAAGACAGTGAATAGCATTGACTTGATCTGTGATATATTGTTAACATTTACTACTCTGCCAATAGAATTATAGGACTATTGATGTCATTGCTTTTTAATGGATTTTGGAGTATCTATCCTTATTATTACAAAAACAATGAAAATCTATGTACAGTGCTTTTAAGTTTTCAATACAACCATAAAATTGATAAGTGTCTTCTTTCTCGATGAGTCCATTTATGTATTTTCGGCAGAGACAAACTAAATGCTCTTAACTGGTCAGTTAATTTGGACGGTAAATATCAGATCAATCCTCAAACAACATGTTGACCTTGTATCTCTGTCTTTCGATGTAGAACCTATTCTGTGGGCATTTTGATTTTTAATTTGTTTTCTTTTAAAGAGCGATTCAGTTATTTACTTGTTAAGTGAACAGACCATATCATTAGGCAACTCTAGTTAGCAAATTATTTCCTATCTTTTTACATTACTTAATTGTAAATTTATGTTGCCTTATTACTGATAATGACTCCGGATTAGCCACCCAACAAGTTCAGTCAACTATCTTAGAATAACATCAAGACACATTGTTTGTTTTATTAACTCAAATGTTGGTTTAGGAACTTAACTTTTTAAACCATCGAAATCTGGTGTTTATTGTCCTTCAACTACTGAGTTCCGAGTTAGTGAGTGAGTTGGTAGTCGATATGAAAAACAGGGATATGATTTATCCAGTGAATACATTTCAAATAATTTGATTATACATTTACTCGTCAAGACATTCCCTGTAAAAACTGAGGGAAGTCAAATAAATAATGATGTCTGGAAATGTAAGAGACAGTTTGAATTGTAGATCGTATCTGAGCATTCATTTCACTCAACTGTTCTAGTAAACTAATAGACTTTCAATATTAATTGATTTTCTTGAACTAAATACTGTCTTATATTGTATTTTTACATAGATATTCTTCTTAGTAGCCTAGGTTCAAATTGTAGAAAAACTAGGATTAGTTAGGGGATTTTCTTATAGGTCGATTTGATTTTTAAGCTGTATTTGTGCGTATTGCTGAGCGATTCTACACTAGGATGGGGCAGTTGTCCAGTGCTTCCCGGTTTTCAGTAGTGCCCTAAATGAGATGAATACAACCTAAGGATTTAGAGATATTTACAAATTTAAACAAAGCAAGAACAGAGTTCGTAGAGAAAAATCTATTGTATTTTGAGTTTTCTCACCATTTGCAAACAACCTGAAATTACAAGAGGCGATATACTTATTAATTGTCACAAATTAATTTGTTTGTAGTGGTAATTGTGTAATCGTTCATCATTCCTGTTTTGATTATTAGTAATCGTAATATCACCTCTGCAACGTATGTACGCGTCAATTTCAACTATGTTTAATAACATATGTTACTTATCATGGTTTTCGGTTTCTTTATAACTATTCATTTCACTTTCAATTACTAAAGTCTACGTTTGCTTATTATTATATTGCTCCTTTTCAGTTTAGACTGTTCATAGTTGTTAATAAAAGGCTTCAAAATACAATTAATTCATTTTATTCTACAAATTTTGTTGTTTTTACATTGTTTAAATTTATCAAAAAGGGCTCCATTGGAATTATTATTTAATGTTCTCGGAATTATAAATTCTATGCTAACTAAAGGTTATTCATGTTATACCGTCCAACTATTTAATTTAATCAAATCTTTGAAATTTTTCAAACCATTAATTTCTATAAGATTTGTTGAGTTGTGTTTTTTTCTTTCCTATCATTTTTTAGGGTACATTTCTGTGTGTAAAATGAACTATCAGCTAAATTATTATACCCTGTGAACTCAACCAACTTTCACTGATTCTTCTCTATCCAACTCAAAAAAAAATTTATTGTTTCAATGGTTATAGTTCAGTATATTGTATTACGTCGTGATTTGTCAACGGCATTAAATTGGCCATTAGGTGCATTAATTGCACAAGGTTGTCATGCCGCGACAGCAGCTATTACTACTTACTATACACATTCAGATACGGTGTTATATCTAAACGAACTAAATAGAATGCATAAAATTGTTTTAGGAGTTGAGAATGCGGAACAATTGGAAAATTTAGCAAATAAATTAAAAGATGCCGGTATTGATTATTATTTGTGGATAGAACAACCGGAAAATCTATGCACAGCATTAGCTACACGCCCATACGAGAAATCAATTATTCAGGTTTATTTTAAAGGACTTAAGTTATTATCATGAACTAATATAAATAACGTTGTGTCATAGTGTTGTTTTGTAGAATTTGTGAATGCAATTTTCAAAAAATCTTTGTTTTTGTTAAAATAAACAAAAGAAGGCACTTCTTTTACATTATTATTGACAGCTTGGTCGTTTAATTCGGCATGTTTTTTTCTGACGATAGTTTGTAGCTTTTAGTTCTTTTGATTGGATTGTTTAACTTTAACGGTTAATCAATAGATTCCTAATCATTTCTTTATACGTTTAAATAACATACACCCAGTTTTATTTATGGCATACTTTGGATATGTGGACTGTTGATAATTGGATTTTCTTTAGACAATGTGTCATGTATTTCAATTTGAGATTCTTTTTCGATGTAGTATTATTAGGTTTTCACAAATAGGTAGTGATTCTTAGTTCACATTATGGAGGTACAAACAGTTTTTATAGTAGGAGTTTCTCCATAGATTGACATGTGTTCGCGTGATTTTGGAATTTGGGATTATTCTACTTCTATGGTGATAGAATATTGCTACATACCTTTTACTTCCAATCGTCAACATGTACATACACTGGTTAGTACTAGTATATAAATGTCTAAAGAACTGAACTTTGTAAACTCACTCCACGTAAAGGATTTCTACTAATTAATTCAAATCTGTTCGAGGTGCTAACTTGATCCATTATGAAGAATGTGCACATTTTATTGTATCCAGGCGACTATCAACTGTTTGTGAAGTCCTCAAGGTTTTTCCACCTTAATTCAAAATAGTAGATAAATGACATTACACAGTGATTGTCACTTTCCGAACAGAAAGGAAGTTATGGGTAGTGGTTCGCACGGAATTATCAGTTTACAATCGAGAATAAAAGGCGAAACCATGACATCGATGAATTTAAGTAAGACCTTTATATATAAACAAGTTAATAGAGATTAAGTACGGTATCGAACACTGATCTCGGGAAAACTGCGGCCAAACAAAAAATAGTAAATGTGAATGAGTAATTTATAGTACAAAATGAAAGAATTTGCAAAAAATATGTTGTGTTTGCATCATTAATAAACATCCCAAAGTTGGCCAAAAGTTCTAACTTGAGTTAAGCGTACTTTGTATGGTCTAACCTAACAAACGCTAACGAAATGTCGAACGCGATCATATTATTACCGTTATTGATAATCTTGACTGAGTTTGTATTAGTTGACATTTGTGCATGCTGTACAGATAGCATCAATATATCGCTAACACTGATATCCAGTTCGTGAATTCCAAATAAAACGAAACGCCTATCCTGAATTCCATTGTTGGACTCAAATCCATAAATTCTACTAAAGATCGCAACAAAATATCACTTCCCCATGTTTTTGTACATATTCGTTTGATTAGTACAATTCCGACTGAGTTTTCTTCAGTATCTCAACGTCTTATTATTACTCATCAGTGGTTTTCTATTTAAAATTAATCATTATACAGTCACGAGTTAGCACCATGGTGCTGTGTATCCACTACAAACCTGGAATCACTTTGATCCTAGTTAGTTGGAAATAATATTTTACCAGTTGAATTCATGAGTCGAATTAAGCTAAACCACCATTGGAAACCTGGAAGAAATGGATTATCATATGCTTACCAGTGACTAGCTTCAAGATGGACTTCTTGGAGCACAAATGAGAAGCCGTGACCAGTAGAGTCCAGTCCCTGTTTGGTGGAGATAGTTATCCACCTCAAACAATGAGCGAAGTGTTGCACAAAATCATGGATCGATTAAAGTTAGACATTAACACCGTTGAATGCCGGCTTAGTTGTATAGAGGTTGTGTTTGCGCTCGAGTACCGCATGCGAGATCTTGGACCGTACTAGTGAGGAGTCCCATACTAGAACGAAACGGCCGTCCAGTTCAATTATGGTCTAGCTTACATTGATTCATGAATTCAACCATTAAAAATTACTACAATCTCTACAAATCCCCATTCTGATAATATTTTACCATCATTGACTACTCATTGTGAACCAGATGACTAGCTAGTGAATATAAACATGAAATATTAATTTAAGCTAGTCAAAAAAGCAATACGTAATACAATGTACTATAGTGCAGCATTTTGATTATCATCAGCTACAGATAATTATCAATCATATTGATCACCTACATTCAAAGAGATTAAATCAATATTTTGGTATTTATCTAGTATAGTAGAGGATTTATAAAATGTTTAGAAAGAAATCCAAGAATTTACCAATTTATGAAAACGAATCCCATTATAAAGCCAATATAACTGGAAATCTAGAAAATCCCGATCATCATTTTTCTTATGAATCGAGTATTTCAAGTGAAAACTTGATGTTTAATAAAAAGTTAACTGGCAAATCTAATCAAAATAAAGCTTTAAGTTTAATACACAAAATGAATATATTCTCACGTAATAGACGAACTACCAACAGAAAAGTCAATTATAATGAATATATTGATTCAGTTCAACTTGATATACCTAATGATGAGTCTATGGAAGAAAATGGATCACT